CACACACACACACACACACACACACACATGCACACACACACATGCACACGCACAAGAGACGTTTAAGGATGTGTTCGATTATTTTAGTAATTTTTTCAGTTAAGAATTCTTCAGGAAACCTAAAACATGAAAGGTACAACGTTGACCAAAAGTGCACAAAATTGGAAAATTTTGCTGGCAATATCTAAGTTTGATCCTTCAGGTAGGACCCGTTTAGAAATCATGGCGTTCTCTCCAAGTATTCTGAATGTGATGAGGGGTTCTCTAGTAGCATTGGCAGGCTTCGCCAGTTTTTCGTCGCAGTGCTGCATGCATCAGCCTCCAGTATTCGCAGTGACACACTAGCTAAACAGCTCCATCAGCTCAACGGACCGAGTGCTTCAGAAACAGTAGATTTATTCATCGCTCGATACCGCTATTCGTCGGCGCTGTGGTGCTATGGTTTTAATATTTGCCAGTCGCGAATGTGACTCATTTGAATTGCATTCGACCTCGAATTGTTTTTATATCAGCAGCTGCAAGTCGATCGCTAAGATGATCGTTAGTTTGAGAAGTCTTAGAACTCAGACGACTTTTGAAAGCTCAGCAAAAGTTGCCACAAGGGCCAGAACTCTAGTGAAGGTGTATTCATCAGTGAATCAGATCAAATTTTAGCACTCAGGTGGTGAATTAATCTTAATCAAAGATAGTTCTGAAGGTAGTGAAGCAGCAACAAGGCGTTCAACGGAAAAGCTGTATTATGAAATGGCAAGAAACAAGCAAAACGCAGTCAATGTAGCCAATGTGCACCGAAGAATCTAAGTTCGTGCATTCATTTTCAGTCGTTATTTCTTTCGCTAGACAAAAACCCGACGGCTTCACGGGTTTCTTCTAATGGTCTTTTGCCCCATCGAGTATGTTATTTGAACCTGATTCGAAGGTCGAGCTATGAGCTGGTGAATATTCCAGCGAACCATCCGCTCCTCATTCTTTCGCTCATTCACCCATCTGTTCGATCATCCATTCCTTTAGGCAATCATTCATCTGTTCCCTCACTCATTCGTCTTTGCAGTCCTTTCAGCGCAACGGCTTAGGGAGGTTAATGTAATGGTACCTGTCCTGCGCCAACTCAGGATATCTAAATCCCATGACATTGTCAGGTACCTAAAATTCCCAAGTCCTGTCATCGTTAATCTATCCATTCATTAGTTCGCTGGTAGTTTTATTCATTCTTTCACCTACTAATTCATTCCTGTTCTCGTTCTCTCATTCATTTGTCGATTCAATCTCCCACCTATCCGTTTATTGTTTTTTCATCTATCCACCTGTTGATACATCGTTAACTAATTCATTCATTCATTTTTTTCGTTCGTTCCATCATGCAACCATTAGGGCTTTTTCCATGAGTTCATTTTCAAAGTGCAAAATTAGTAGATTAGATTAGTCCAGCAGTTTTAAGTCGTTTTCAAATGATTACGTAACCTTAGGACGTAGTGGCTGCATCCCAGGGTGTAATAATGCTCATAATTTAATATACCTGATTTATCTGGCCTTGATTGGCCTCGTGATCAGATTACATACGACCTTGTGACGAATTTTCTTGCAAGCATCTCCTCTGACATTCTGACGGCAAGTTCTGATTTATTACATGTCAAATTCCAGTATAACAAATTCCGCAATAACAAAATTTTTAGTACTACTAACAATTGTCTTGCGTTTAAAATACCTACTTTATGAAATATATTAAATATCTCATTAAGAAATCAGAATTTAAATATAGCTGACCTTTATCGCTGATTAAAAGGGAATTAATTTCGTATGTGCGCAAAAACAAACAAACATCGATCACATTTATCTTTGCTATAGATTAGGTAAAGGACATTTACTTCAGGTAAATTCAGTTATTTTCGGTTTCAACGGCATTGCCGAACGATGTTTGGCTGTCGTGCGAAATTCAGCACAATATTAAATTGTGAACTGAACAAATAATCAATAGAAGATGGATTGTGGGAAAGAAAATATTTCAAGTACTGCTGCCATTTTATTTATTTTATTCAGAGTTACTCAAAGCGCTGGATTGTTCAGTCTTGGGATAATGCGCCGCTCAAGTGTACTGCGTACTGTACTTAAAAATTTAATATCCTTGCACAGCTGAAAATGACAACCTAGCTATAGAAACATCTTTCCTCTCCATTGGCTCATTAGTTAAGACTCTTGGGTTCTGCTAACCCCACCGTCTTGCTAGAATTGCAAGTGTTTACGTAAGTACTTTCATCATACGATAAAGGAGTTATTGTTAATTCCTGTAAGTGCATTTTCACCGTGTTTCGCACATGTTATTTTGTACCCTGCACTGTTTATGGTTAAAATTATCACAGATAACAAAGTGTTTTAATTAATTTGGTCAAAAAGAGCGGAAAACGACGACAATTCAAAAAATAGACTCTTTTGGAAATAATGCACACTGGGAAGAAAAAAATCGGCGTTGCAACAGAATTTTGTTACTTTTTACAATTGTGAAACATCGTAGAAAGATTGAAGAGAAGATTTAAGAGGATGAATTAGAACCTTAGAGAAAGAAGATTTGAAATTACGCTTTATATTATGATATGGGTAAAGCTGTTTTTTATCGTTACAACATGCTTGGACAAGCAATATCCCTATTATTATCAATAATACACGAAAAGGCATTAGATTTTACAAAATTTATGGGGCGCGATATTTTGGATGGCTCGGTAGGTTTCGGGCGTGATATGAAATAGCTTCCAGGATAATCTGTGGAGAAGATAATGATGTACCAAAGGAGAGTGTTGACAAACGGTGCGTGAAAATACAAAGATAATCGCATAATGCAATATAAATTATATTCTTAATTTTCATGAGACTGGATATTCTCTCAGTTGCTGTACAACTTAGATGACCAAACTCGGCTTTAACGTGTTCCAATGCACATGTCGAATTATGTTATGTTAATGATATTTTTAATGCTCATGAGACTGAGATGTCCCTCAGTTATTTTCACATAGTACACTCACTGTTAAGGGCGATTCATTCAGAGGAGTAAGAGATCAAAACAAGATAAACTGTCTTGTTTCGCTGCGACTCTTCTGGAACAGAAAAACGGAAACCATTGAACGCCAGAAAATACGCAGATCCACGAGGTCATAAGGTTAGGGTTATGAGAACATAGGTTCGATCGCTTCCCTGCGATTATCGTGCAAACAAACGTCCTTTGATGCCAACCAGTGTTTAAAGGATGGCTAGAATTCTTGCATACGCAAAATAAATTTTTTCTCATTATTCTTAATTGCTCGGCGCAGAATTCGACATGTGTATTAGAACACGTTAAAGCCGAATTTAGTCCTCTAAATGGTACAGCTTGCCGCAATTTTTGAACTTGGGAATCATACGTGCAGTCGAAATGCGGTACATGAGTCAACTTAACAAAAAGTTTTTGCTTAATTATTTTAAGGGGATAGTGAAAAAATAGATGTTAAGGAAGCATGTAATATGATCTTTCCAGTATAGAGGTTCCTAAAAAATTAATCATATTAAACTGATGGAAGAAGACTTCAATTCTTGCATTCAGTGATCCATGAAAGCAGATAACTGGAATAGAGAATACTTTAGCGAAAGCGGAACATGAGGTTAGAGAAATATGAGATTCTGTACTTGCTGCCACGGAATGCCGAATAGAGTCAATTATGAAAATTATATAGATGCGGATGACAATTTAACGAGTGAGATAACGGACCAAGAAACTACTGAAAATTTACAGAAACCTTCATTTAGTGCCGACATGGCATATGACAGTGAAGAAGACGATGTAACTGCTGTTGAGTCACCTAATGAGAAAATTTCGCTTTCAGAAGCCTTAGACAGCCTCAGACACTTCGTGCGTCCTCTTCTCTTGATATATTAGAAATTATTTTTCATCAGCAGTTAAATAGTATCGAAAATTTCATTTTAATGGTGCTACAAAAATATGACAATTAAAAATAACGGTCCTCTAGATCAAAAATAAATTTTTGTAATAATTATTTGCAATTTTATGACCATTTTTAAATAAAACAAGCTAATAATTTCTTTTCGTTATTCTTTATGCCGAAATTTCAATATAAAGAATTAATTTGCACAGTTCCAAGAGTTTTGTCATATCGGAATTTGATCTGTATTGGCTTAGATGATTCAACAAGGATGGCTAAGCTTTTTCACCTCTTCCAGTGCTGTATTATAAATAAACGCGAAAGCATCTAAAACGGTAAAAAATATCCTTTCTGTCGGTTTTTGCTTCAGAGCGACGTCTGGTTTCTGACTTTTACTTACTTGACTCCAGTTGTATTGAGAACTGGTGATATTCGTACGTTTCGATTTCAGCACCTTTCTGCCATAGGGAACGTTTGCAAAACAGCCCATTAACGTAACCCCCAGTTTCATGGAACCTTAGATTCAGACTAATGAGATGGATTCTAAGAAGCAATAGACAAGGGAGGATAAGAATCGTGAATGCCACCATAATCAGGCATACTTCGTACCATTGCTGAGCAACAACTCGTTGCATGCTAGAGGAAACGACACTCAAAACCATGTCAGCTGTATTAGGATGTCCACAGCGTTACGGAAACCGCTATGCCACAACTGGATTGGTAGATAAATAACAGAGTACTACTCTCGGTATGAAACAGTAGCTGGTCAGCATTAACGTCAACTGTTTTGTAAATACTTTGATCTGCTTCTATTAAGAGACATGTGACGCCAAATTAGAAGCTATATATTTTTGATAGATTATAATGCCTTTAGAACAGGAAACAGGATTGTTTGAAGCAGAAAGACATTTACCAAGCTGAAAACTGTCTTCCACAATGCTTAATATGATGGATTAACATTCTGTCTTTCACCATGAAGCTGAAATTTCTTTCATTAATAAAAGTTTATATTCTTCGTTAATTACGTTTTTTACGTGATTTGAAACCTTTTCTTTTAGTAGTCGAGCACCATCCTGATTTTACTGGTGGCTCGGCAGTTAAGCACGAAGTTTATGAAGAAGAAGCGACTCGACGGGAAGCTCCTGCAAAGGCCTCCGTCTACTCCCATTCTGCTGGCGGTCAGGCAGAAGAAGTGAGCGACTATGATCACCCGTTGGACGCCCAGTTCACGCAAAAGATTTTGGAGGCTGAGAAGCCAAAAGTGCCCGTAGAAGCACCTCCGGTGTGGGCGCGTACAGCCCAAGCGAAACACGCAAAATGGCAAAGTTCGAATGAGGCTAGGGGTCAGCAACAGGAAGTGGTTGCGCAGCAGTCTCGACCGAGATCTGAGGTAGACAGATGGCAGAAAAGCTATCAATACGAAGAATATCAGCCAGCCGCCGTAGAAGCGAAAGGATCGTTGCAACGAGCTTCCAGCCAAAGCCGTGCGACCGAAACCAAGCCATACCAGGAAAAGTCGAGGGGATATTATTCGCTGCGATCGTCGAAAGACCACTGGTTGAAACCGTACGTAGCCCCTAACGTAACAACGTTCAGAAGCACCGGTGCCGGGGCCAGTAAGGGCAAGACCGTACTTGGCTACTCTGAAAGCACAGAAGCAAAAAAACCGCTCGAGTTTGGTACGTTCTACGGGCCGGGAGAAAAGACCACCTACTCTTCCTCAACGACCACCACCGTACGCAAATCGGAAACATTGCCGAGAACGTACGGCGCTAGTCAAGTGGCCCCAGTTGGATATGCACCAAAAAAACAAGTGACCATTTCGTCACTGGTCAGCGGCGAGGCGGAAAAGCCCTCCTATGTAACCGAAGAGGTACCACCATGGCACAAGCACGCCGAGTACAAGCGAACCGTGTGGGAGAAGAAGCGCACAGCGATTGACCCTGATCAGCAGCAGAAGCCGGCGATCGCCGGGGAGAGGCCGTCGTGGACGCAGAAGGCGGCGGAGAAACAGATTTCCTGGGAGGTGCATGGCAACCACATTGATCCAAGGACCCACCGACCGCCTCCTCCTGAAGGCACTGGACCTCAATGGACCAAGAAGGCTGAAAAGACTCATTCGATATGGCAGCACGAAGCTGACGCGTGGTTGCAGAAGAAGCAGATGGAGGATGAGCTGTCAAACCGTGGCTATTCAGCTCAGTACTCGACGAAGACGACGACGCGAACTTCGGCTCCAACCACCACTCCGCCATCGACCCCGGCTGCGGCAGGGTCGGTGCCCGCCTACCATGATGATGCAAGCCCGCCGTGGCGTCAAAAGAAAGTACCGCATGAGAGGGTTTCTGGCAGCGAGGACGAGGTCAGCAGATATCACGACCTTACGACGTCCATCTCCCAAACAACGGCACAGACACCGCGTGGAGAGACGAAGTCGAAGACGTCCGGAAGCTACATTGACCCAGAGGGGCACACCGTGGACTACGTGAAGGAAGCATACACCACAGTGGACCCGGGTAAGGAGTTCAGCATGCTGACCGAGGAACAGCGCAAAGTGCTGGAGGAGCCGCTGGAACCGGGAGTCATCTCCAGACACGTCACGACCAAATACTACAAGAAGGCAACGTACACGAGCACGTCGACGACCACCACCACTCAGGCACCGCCGATTGCCTCACAGTCCTCGTCCTCTGCGACCAGCATCGGCATGAACGGCCCGGCGGGTCAAATGGGTGTCGGCGTTACGCAATTCTGAAAGCACCTGCCGACCGATTCGACCACGGCCGCCGACATCGTTTCGAAAACCCTTCCAGCGCGTGAACGTCCGAAGCATTGATCATTATTATTATTATTATTACTATTATTATTCTGCAAATGGAATCCCTCACTCTCTCGAAAGACCGGCGTGACTTAGTTGTTGTTTGATCTAGCGCTCGCTTCACCGTAGTCGTTCATGCTTTACATTTTCTTTATGTAAATATGAATGTTTTTATTTTTGCAAATATGACGTTATTTATTTGAATTAGCATCGTGACGTTAACGCTGTGCTTTATTCAG